AAGTAGGATCAAACCCTGAATCTTCCTGGATTCAGCTCTCCGGGCCAACTTCTATCCTGAGGCTTTTTATAGGAGAAGGAAGCTTATAACCCCACATCTGTCTTCCCCAGCCACCCTGTACTAACCAAGAAGGTCAAGTAAGCATGTGGTGGGGGGCAGGACTGAATCTCTGACTAGGGGATCCTGGGCCTGGACACAGCGCTGGAAGAGAAGCCCAGGTGAGAGCACCCCACCCCTGCAGGGTTTCTATCCCATCCTGGGCACAGGCTGGCCCAGCACCTTCTTTCTGGACTCCCCAGGCTCAGCAGGATGGGAGCGTAGAAGGCACGATGGTCAGTCCCCAGCTGGCGTGCACCTGCAGAGCTGAACTAGTAAGGGGCTGATTTGGGGGGTCTTGTGGAGGCACAGGCGTAGAGCGTGGGGCCCACCTGACACCAGGAGGCTGAGGTCTCCAATACCTGCCCTGTGGAAGGTAGAGAGGAGGAAGAGTAGACTCCTCCTCCTAGGTGTTTATTTACCCAGCATGGTGCAGTGTCCTGAAGACATAGAATCAGGCAGGAAGCCTTGCAGCTGTACACTGCTGTGGGGTTTTCAACCCCAGAATGATGGGATTTTTTTTATCATCGTTATTGAAGTATAGTTCACAATGTTTTATTAGTTTCAGGTGTACAACATAGTGATTCAATTCTATACACAATGCTCACCATAAGTGTAGTCACCATATGTTAGTATATTATTGATTTTATTCCCTATGCTGTATTTTTCATCCCTGTGACTTATTTATTTTATAACTGGAAGTTTGTACCTCTTAACCCCCTTCACCTATTTTGATTATTCCCCCCCACCCCAGCAACCAAGAGTTTTTCTGTATTTATGAGTCTGCTTCTGTTCTTTTGTTTTTTTGTGGGGCTGTGGTGTGCTGTAGGATGGTCAGCAGCACCCTGGGTCTCTTCCCACTAGAAGCTAGTCGCACAACCAGTTGCAGCCAAAAAAAATCTGGAACAGTCAAACACAGAGGGACAGGAAGCAGATTAGTGGGTATGAAGTTTCCCTTTGGGGTGATGAAAACATTCTGAAACTAGATACTGGGGATGATGAACAGTGGTGAATATACTGAGTGCTGCTAAACTCCACACTTTAACATGACAACAGTAAATTTGATGTCATGTGTGTTTTATCACAGTAAAAAAAAAGTCTCTAAGCATTCCCAAGTGTCCCCTGGTTGAGGACACTTATTCTGTAGTAATGAATGCAGAGACTGTACAGTTTCTCAATTTTAGCACTACTGAAATTTTGAGCCAGACCATTCTTTGCTGTGGGGGCTGTCCTGTGCATTGTACGATGTTAGCGGCATCACTGGTCTCTGCCCATTAGATGCCAGGAGCACACCCTAGTTGTGACAAATATCTCCAACATTACCCAGTGTCCCATGGGTGGCAAGTCACTCCTGCTGAGAACCACTCAGACTCTATGCTGTTTTGCAAATCCATAAGACCTTTTAATTTCTGCACAAAGGGAGCTAGACTTTACCATCTGATGAACACTAGTTTCAAGTCCATCTGCTTCTTAGATGCTATGTCCTATCAAACCATTGAACCCTCTCACTGTGTCCCCTTACTTTTTTTTAAGATTTTATTTATTTATTTGACAAAGAGAGAGACAGCGAGAGAGGGAACACAAGCAGGAGGAGCAGGAGAGGGAGAAGCAGGCTTCCCTGCCAAGCAGGGAGCCCGATGCGGGGCTCGATCCCAGGACCCTGAGATCATGACCCGAGCCGAAGGAAGACGCTTAATGACTGGGCCACCCAGGTGCCCCTGTGTCCCCTTATTTATTAATAGGTAAAATAATAGGACCTTTAGGGGCTAGGGGGACTGCTGCAAAGTTTCAACAAACATGTATTTTTTTTTATTGTGTTCAGGTAGCATAGAGTACCTCATGAGTTTTTGATGTAATGTTCAACAATTCATTAGTTGCCTATAACACCCAGTGCCCATCACAACACGTGCCCTCCTTAATACAAACATGTATTTTAAATACCCAATATCCAATATAGGGTCTGACCCAGACATTCTCAATCACAACCCACCGCCACTGTGTATATTTTTTAATTTTTTTATTATGTTATATCATACATTACATCATTAGTTTTTGATGCAGTGTTCCATGATTCATTGTTTGCATATAACACCCAGTGCTCCATGCAATACATGCCTTCCTTAAACACTTTGTATCCACATGAAGACCTCAGCCCCACCTCCAATTACTTGATCCCTTCCCCTGAGCCATACTCAGTTTCCCCACCGCACACCTCCCTGAAATCCTCGCCTGTCCACATTCTGGTAAACGTGGTTATCCAAAAGCCTGGGAAGCCAATATCCCCTGAGTGGAACACCAAATACTACACAGCCATGAGCGCTTGAGGACATTTATCCTGATTAAGTCTGCAATGCCGAACAATAGAAGAAACTGGGTCCTTCCGTGTGCCACCCAGTGGCTAAGTAAGCCACACCACTTCCATCCTTGAGATAGAAGAATCCTGTGTTAATTTGTGGCCTTGAACTTCCTGCTGACTAGTTTTTTTTCAACGAATTAATGTGATGTGCAACCCACAAAATAGCACAGAGAAAAATATTCTCTGTGCAAGAGAGATTAAGAGACAAGGAAGATGAAATGAGACCGTACAGAACATGGAAGAGGGACAGTACAGAAAGAGATAAAGGCTGAATTTTTTTCCAAAATTCTGAATCCCTTTGCTGTGCAGAAGCTTTTTAACTTGATGAAGTCCCAAAAGTTCATTTTTGCTTTTGTTTCCCTTGCCTTTGGAGATGTGTCTTGAAAGAAGTTGCTGTGGCCAGTGTCAAAGAGGTTACTGCCTATGTTCTCCTCTAGGATTTTGATGGATTCCTGTCTCACCTTGAGGTCTTTCATCCATTTAGAGTTTATCTTTGTGTATGGTGTAAGAGAATGGTCCAGTTTCATTCTTCTGTGTATAGCTGTCCAATTTTCCCAGCACCATTTGCTGAAGAGCTTGTCTTTTTTCCACTGAATCCCTAGCAGCATAAAATAAATAAAAAATAGGAAAGGCAAGGAAGGAACCCCATACCAGAAAATATCAGTGCACAGAGGAAATCATCTCAACAGCAGCCAGAATGAAAGGAGCCATTGCCCACAGAGTGGCCCCAATTAGACCGGAGTGGACATCCCAGCAGCAACAATGAAGGACAGAGTGTGGAACGGAACCTCCCAAACACCTGTCAGCTTTCAATTGAAAGGCAGGCAATTATTCTTCAAGAATGAGGTTTTAAGAAGAACTTTTCATCTCCCCTAAAAAATTGCAGTTGGGGGTTTTTATAGTTCCATCATGTGAAAATGTTGGGGAAGAAAACTTCACTGAAATAAGTATTCTCCTAAATCCAAAGGGAACAATTCTGTGTTATTTAAGCTGTTAACCTGGATCACTAACTGCAGGTCATTGTTTTTGGAACAGCCCTGTGTCAGTGTTCTCAGTTCGCAGGGATGCATGATAGGGCTACTTTAAATCTGGTAGAAAAATTAAGTAAGGATATAGATCACTCACTTTTGTCAGTGTCTGGGAATCAGTGCTAAGTAGTGATTTTGCATTTTTTTAAGAAAATTCTAGAGTGGTTTTCCCACATTTTCTGTGAGTTATCAGCAACAGGATGTGGATAACTTAGGGAAAGCTGTGTTTTCCAACGTAGTAGATTACACACACACACAAGCACTCATATGTGGAACATAAGCAATAGCACAGAGGACCAGAGGGGAAGGGAGGGAAAACTGAACGGGAAGAAATCAGAGAGGGAGACAAACCATGAGAGACTCTGGACTCCGGGAAATAAACAGGGTTGCAGAAAGGGAGGTGAGGGGGTAGATGGGGTAACTGGGTGATGGGCATTAAGGAGGGCATATGATGTGATGAGCAATGAGTGTTATATGCAACTAATGAATCAATGAACATTTAAAAAAAGTTTAATCAAAAACTAATGATGTATGGTGATTAACATAACAATAAAAAATTATTTTAAAAAAAAGTTTAAAAATAATGATGTGGTCAGATTTGTACCTCATAAATAACAGGCTAGATTAGAACGGGGGTTGGCAAACTATGGCCCATGGGCCAAAGCTGGCCTGTTGCCTATTTTTATAAATAAAGTTTTATTGGAACATAGCCACACCCATTCATTTAAATATTATCTATGGCTGTTAGCACACTGCAACAGCAAAATGGAATCATTGTGACAGTGACCATATGGCTTACAAACCTAAAATATTAGCTATCTGGCTCTTTACAGAAAAAGTTTACTGACTTCTGGGTTAAAATATCCTAAAACTGGAGCACCTGGTTGGCTCAGTTGGTTAAGCGTCTGCCTCTGGCTCAGGTCATGATCTCAGGGTCCTGGGATCAAGCCCTGCATCAGGCTCTCTGCTCAGCGGGAAGTCTGCTTCTTCCTCTCATTCTCCCTCTGTGCTCTCTCTCTCAAATAAATCTTTAAAAAAAACAATAAAAATTAAAAAATATCCTAAAACTGATTAAGGAAGCCACAGACCACACTAATCATGTAGACTCATCAAGCATCTACTAAATTTGACCCAGAAATACCTGAGCTAGGGCAGAAAAAAAAAAATGAAAGAAACCAACATAGCCATCTATGAAGTAGTGATATTTTTTCCTAGACCAGCAGTATGCCTAGTGTGAAGATAACTCTAAATTAGGTCTTGGGCACATTAATAAGTACAGCTTCAAACAAAGTTCTTTGCCTTTTATTATGCTTGTGTCCTTGTGAAATAACAGACATTTTGACATAAAGTTGGTATGTGACTTGTGCAGAATTTCCTGTAAACCAGAGAGGAAAAGCCAGTGCTAAATTCTATATTTTGATCCAGTAATTCACATGTGACCCTCTAGTTCACGGTGTGTCTTAGAGATATCAGATCACCCCCTTCGAGACACATAGTCACTAAAGACGGTCTCAGGGTGTTCAAGACAGGAATTCACAACATGGGGACAGGCTCGCTCTGGCATCACTGCATTCAATGGTCAGATTTGGATTGTGATCTTTCACGTCCTTCAACAGCTTCTGGATTTCCACGCTAGATTCATCTATCTCCAACCTGAGTATCTTTAAGGGGCTGTTATTCTGTTTTAAAGCCTCAAAGAGCACCGTTATTCCACTTTGCCCCAAGATATTCTGGCCCAGGTCCAGAGTTTCCAGCCTCTGAGTGCTGATGAGAACAGATGCAAGACCCTGACAACAGGAAGAAGTGATGGAACAGCCACGGAGCCTGTGGGGAAAGAGCACAGAAACCCAGTCAGTTCTTTCTTAGAACCTACTGTGTTACCAGGCACACTCGTGGTTTGCTGGGGAACTAGTAGTAAAAAAATTTTTTTTTAAATAATAGTTTTCCTCATAGAGCTTATTTTAGTGACTTCCATCAGAACATTGGAGACCATGGATGATGGCACTGGAACAGGATTAGGGTAAATTGGCCAGAGAAGGATTAGGTAGCTTTATGGTGGTTGATAAATTCTTCATTGGGAAAGTGATAGGAGAAAAAAGTGAAAGGAGAGTGAGCCATTATGGTAAGTGTGGGATGTAAGCCAGTGAAGCTGAAATGCCCAGCTGGAAGAGAGTCTTGTAGACTGCTGGAGAAACCTTCAGATTTGATCTGCAGTGGCCTGGGGAGCTTTTGAGTCTTTTGAAATAGACGTGTCCTGGTCCAGCTTGCAGACTGAAACAAACCTGGAAATCAAGGACCAGCTCTGAGGCTGCACAACACTCCATGTGAGAGCTGGCAGCCCAGATGAGAGCGTTAGCACTGGAAGTGTAGATGGTCATCTGCTCGGTATCTGGAAGGAGATGCCTCAAAGTGATATGAACGTGAGGTGTGATATAAAGGCAGGAAGAAAAAAAAAAACAGAAGCCTTCGAGTTGGTGAAGAGACAAACACTGTTTCCTCCTAGACCTTAAAGTGAATTAATTATACTCAGTAATGTGAAATGTATTAGCATCACCTCCATCCTTCATCTCCTTGTCCCAGAGCTTTTCCAGACTAAAAGATGCATTTGCCAGTGGAGGGCAGAGGGTGGGACCGTTTAGGGTAGATATGCCTCATGCTATAGCTTATACAGAGTCCAGTGGGCTGACCCACGTCCCCTCAGCCATGGACCCTTGAGCACTCCACCACCTGCACATCTATACGCCGCATCACTAACCATCCTTCTGCTGCCCCAGGCACTATAATAGGCACTGAAGACACAGGAAATGCATCCCATTCCCTCAGAAATAAAACAATCGATAAATGGATTAACAAGTGGCAGTATATTCCTACAATGGGATATTGTTCCACCATATAAAGGAATGAGGTATTTATGCCTGCTACAGCGTAGATCAATCTTGAAAATACTATACTTACTGAAAGAAGCCCAACACAAAAAGCCACTTATTATATGACTCTCTTTATATGAAATATACAGAATTAGCATGGATAGCAGGATAGGTACAGAATGGAGACAAAGCAGAGGGGTCTGGAGGCCCCCTTTCGGGTGATCAAACAGACTGTAAGTATTCCAAAGCTACCAAGTTGTATACTTTAAAATGGCTAATTTTAGGTGAATTTCACTTCAATAAAAAAACTAAACAAAAAATTATAGTTCTACTAATCGTGCCATTTTCCGACCCAATCAATAGAGAACAGAGCACTTCAATAGGATAGTCAGGAGATCGGGAACTATCAAAACTAGTTTGTTGTCCCCCATAACAGCCAAGGTGAGAAGTGAAATATTAGCAGATAGCCCTGCAAACTGCAGGGTCTGAGTGCTCTAGTCAGAAAAAAGGAAACCAAACAGTAAGAACAAAGACCTTGTGGTGGGAAGGAATGGGGTGTGTTCTGGGAACTGAAAAGAAGCTGGTTGAAGATGTGCCCCAAGGTGGGGAGAAAAAGCCGAGATGAAGTTAGAGAGAAAGTTATGCTCGGGCATAGGGAACACCCTGAGATTTGGTAACAAATATTGATTCATGTGTTTGCTGCATAAAACTTTGTCATGAGATTGACAAGCCCACAATGTAACTCCATAAATGCATGAAGTGCACCATTGTGAGAAGTTGTCCTATAGACGAGTCATGCATACCATGAGGGGAAAATGGAATGTCAGAAGTCACGGCTAATAAATATCAGATGGGATGTGAACCACATTTTGAAGTCAGAGACCCTATTCAATATGTCTGCTATGATGCAGAGGCCTTGTGCCCCAGTTGAAAAAGATAGAGCCCAACCTGTGGACACTGTGGATTTTCTTGTTTAGCATCTTCCAACCTCTAATTCAAGGGAGCGCAAACTTAGAGAATATTGGAATCTTCTGGAATATCTCTAAAGATTTTGATGCCAGGCTCTCCTTCTCCTAAATTTAATCAATTTTGTGAGGAGCCTGACCATTAAGAATTTTAAGAGTTCTCCAGGGACGGCCAAGACATAAAACAAAAATCGCCATGTGTTCTGGTGTTCTTTCTCATCTCTACAAGACTAGGGAAGCATTTACATGACCCAGATTCAGTTTACATTAGGGTTTTAGTTGTAAAATACATTGCATCAATGAGATGCATTTGATGGAGACTTGTGAGGGAGAAGTGATGCACAGCCCACTCCTCCAGGCCCTCTGAATGACTTTGAATACAGGTAACTGGGTGCTTACAATTTCTGCAGGGATTTACCTCCTAAAGTGGAGCAGGAGAGACACTACTGCAGTCTACATTCTAAAATATCTAAAATATCTCAGATAAAATATCTCCAAAACACCTTAAAAATGAGCAAAAGTACCTACCCTAGACATCTTAGGTTACAATTTGGCTTCTTCAAGGCCTCACAGAGAAACCACGATCCAGTAGCTATGGGATTGAGACCCAGATCCAAGTTTGTTAAGCTCGAATCTTCTTGGAGGAGCTTTGAGATGTACCTGCAGCCGCGTCTGGTTATGTTGCAATGCGATAACCTGCAAAGACAATCCCATTCGTCTGTGACTTACGCCCTGTGAGGTGGTTGTTACTTCCAAGAGCACACACCTTCTACTGCAAGATATATACGTTCAGGTAGGCCTGTATGTGAAAACATACAAGTGAAGTGATGATGACGACATCATTCCCACCCTGCCTAGGTGGCAGAAGGTTAAACTGGCCTTTGTCCACCACCTTTTATAAATTATGGAGAAGCAGACGCACATCTCCAAAGACACAGATTTTCCTAAAGCAGCAGCATAGCCTATAGGTCAAGAACTTAGGCTCTGGGGTCAGACAGACCCAAGACTGAATCTGAGGCCCCTATTATGCTCTGCGTGGTTAGGTTCTACTTCTTTCCCTTTAGAGAGAGGTGTTTTATGTTTTATTTCATGTCTTGTATTTAATCATCTGAGCAGAATTGTGGCACACCAAAAGCTCAACATTCCTGATATCTTAGTGACTGGCTTTCTCATTTAAACTCTGCAGACTCTCCTACGAGCTTAGGCTTCTAGGAGTCCTCCAGCTGGGAGGCCAGACCACATGGGAGGATGGTCACATGGTAACTTCAGGCAGGTGGGTCTGCAGCGGACCCTCCCAGCCCTATGCCCCAAGCATGGTGCAATTGCAACAGAGGCTGTGGATCCTGAAGTGCCACTGTTAAGAACGATGGAGGTTGACTAGACCAAAAGACACCATGCTTCGAAGTGTGTGAGATCCTAAAGTCATCAGTGAACCTGAGGAGTTTGGGGAGGACGACGGTATAAAAGTATAAGATTAAGTTTTGTATGTTGTCTAAGTGGAGGCTTGATCCAATGTTGACTCTACGTATTTAAAGCAATGATTGCTGGCAACTCAGTTGATAAAGGGGGCTTCATACCTACCACACAGATGTGACCACATGCAAGATAAGTGGCTAAGCATTGGTTTCCCAGTTAGTAAATCTTGAATAAAAGTAACTATATCATGAGGTTGTAAGAATTTTTTAAAAAATCTTTGTAAAATTTGGCAGAGTCCCTCATATACAGTGAGTGCTTGATGAGGACTGGACATTTTTTTATTGTCTGTTTAGATGCCTAAGCCAACTCTCAAGATAGGATGTCACTATGTAGACAGCCCTGTGAAGTTTTATGTTCTTCGTATGTCTACCTAAACAGTATTCATTAGATGTTTTCATTTTCTCTGTCCACCGCCAAAAGCTGAATACTTGTTTTCTCTTTTTAGTCTTAAATGACTGGGGCATGTCTGGATTAAGGGATATCCTAGATTAATACAGAGTTTCCAGGACCAGCTGGAAGCCGTAAAGCTAAGGGGCAGACAGAAGTTTCCCAGTAGAACAAGAGCCTCAGAGAAATCAAAGCCAAGAAAAAATTTCTGAACAGAAATAAGCCTCATACTCTACACAATCTCTTGAATGTTACCCTAACTATGTATGCTTCTAGTGGGAACAGGTACTCCATGCTGGGCTTGTTCCCATATAACAAGGGCAAATGACAGCCCATGGGGCAAATCCAGCCCACCACCTGTTTTTGGTGAATAAAGTTTTATTGTAACACAACCACACTGATTTCCTTACATGTTCACTCAGCAACGGCACAGTTGAATAATTGCAAAAGAGACCATATAGCCCACAAAGTCTAAAATAATTACTATTTGGCCCTTTGCAGGAAAAAAAAAATGTATTGAGCCCTACCACAGAACTCAGTCCATTCCCAATTATGGGAAGAAATAGATCATGTGAACTTTAAAAACATACACACAACATCAGACCTGAGAACCAATTGGTTATCCCAAATTCCCACCATAGGAAGAGGCGAGAAGGTAATCCCTGCCTGAAAGACATGCAAATATTAATATCTGTTTCTGCCTGTCCTTTCCCTAATTTTTGCCAGGATCTTGCCAGTTTCATTCAAGTAGAATCATTAAGTGCTCTTCTATCTGTCCTACCTGAATCCAGGTGTGTGCACACACAGACTTACACCAGATTCTGTAGTTGACAGTCGGGGTAACTCAGACCCTCACACAAAAGCTTTACCCCACCATCCCCAAGGTTGTTGTTGGCCAAGCACAGGTGCGTCAACCTCTGGTTGACAATCAAAGCAGAGGAGAGCTCCTTGCAACAGGCTTCTGCAAGGTGACAGTTTTCCAACCTGCAAAAAGCACCACATAATTGGCAAGATGGTTAGAACATTTCCAAAGCCCAACCTCCTCAGCTGACAGCCCTTCTTGTTAATTCTATACCCTCTCTATATTGTGCTCATGACCAAAGCCTGAAGGACCATGAATGAGAAAAGGGCCAGCAAAATGCATGAGTCATCCACCTGGGACCAAAACTGGGAACTGGGTGTCTACATCAGTAGGAGGTCCCATATGGGTTGCCCTGTACATCCAGTACTACCATTGCTCCTCCCCGTGTGGTCCCAGACCTAAAACGGAGATGCTCCATGGGAAGAAAGGCGGTACTTACAACAGCCTCTGCAGGAAGCACTTTGGGTGTCTCAGAGTCATGCACAGCAACTTGGTGCACTCGTCCGGGAGCTCACTGGCTGTGAGATCCAGGCATTTCAGGGACTGGTTGACTTCAAGGGCCGAGGAGAAGTCAGCCCACTGCTGAGTGGTGTCAGAACAAGACCCCAGCCTGTGGGATAAATGGGGGGAAAGTAATTCTTCTGAGAGGACAGAGAGACCACATCAGCTTTTTATGTTTCCCTGAAGATTATACCCTTGAATTCTATTTCATCCTACTCCAATAGGCGCTCAGCCCTGGCCTGAATTGATCTCCTTTGCTTCTTCAATTATCCCCACTGCCATTTGATCAACATCCAACATCATCTAAGAGAAAAAAAATCTGTAATATAAGTATGCATGTAGTTTCACTACTGTGGCTGTTATTTCTCAAACCCTACATTTTATACGATCACTTTCCCTGCCTGAGTGTGTCCTGATTAGGACAGACTTAGATTTAAATACGCAATTCTACAGGGAAAAAATTGATGCCTGATACTCAGAAGGGTCAACCTCATGAATTATTAGGGAATATGCAAATTAAAACAAGGAGATACCATTTGACACCTGGGCAGCCAGGTCCAAAATTTGTTGAGTTTAAGTGTTGCAAAAATAAAAACTGGGAACTCCTTCTGTTGATGAGCATATGAATAGAGTACAGCTGTTTTGGAGATCATTGAGGAAATCCATTAATCCCTTATACTGGGCTTTAAAACCCAGCTACTCTTGCACACAAAGATCAGACTACAGGACTCTAGTACACGTCTGTTGTTTGCATCATACTTTTACTATGTTCAAAATCTTTGCAAATTACTAAACCTTTGTAATATCTTTCCCCATCTGTGCTTTGCAGGGAGACAATACCTTCATGTCCAGCAATTAGAGAATATAATCCATCCATATTCTGTGCCCAGTAGAATGTATGTCATAGGTAAAATTGGGAGTTCTTAAAACGAGTACCTTTCTTCCCTCAGATTAGCCTATATAATAAGGATGTCCTACGTTTAGTTAAGTAATTGGAATACAGGGTGGAATGTGAAGGGTCTCAAATTGTGTGAGCACAAGTGGGAGATTCTGAGTCAGCTATTTGTCTTTTGGAGCTTCAGTGTATCCACTTAAAACATCCATTACCAAAACTTCAGAGTAACAGATGTTTTTCTAAGTAAATGAGACACAGCATCAGAAATCATCAATATGGTAAGAGCTACCCTTTGTGCCTGGCCCCTATGCAAAGCAGGTCACATCAATTCTTAAAACCCCGCTTTATGGATGAGGAAGCAGCTCAAAATCCTAGTGGTCATAAATGTTAGAGCAAGGATTTGAGCTCATTTCCAAATCCAAAAAAAAAATCTGTGCTCTTAGCCAGTATTGCAGGCTGCCACTCAACTAAATGGAGGGAAGGAAAAATGGTCCCCTAGAGACAGGTAATGACAATCAGAGCCCTCACTAGGAGGGCTCACTGAGGAATGGCTCAGACCAGACATACCAGGACCCAGGACAGTGGATTCTTCTGCAATGTTACTGAGTGGTCATGATGGATGCTCTGAACCACAACGGGTAGACAACACGGGGTCTAAAATACCAAGTCCCCAAGCTAGAGGGGGACGCAGAATTCTGGGTGTTCCTTTGCCCTCGGGGCTCACTCTTCAATGCACGAGACAAGCTGGCTGGAGAATGTGGACGGGCTTTCTGCCTCTGTTTGAGACTATGTCCCCTGTTTGGCATGGTGTCCTGACATGTGGCTCTGCCTTCCTTCCAGTTCAGCCAGAAGTGCAGGGGCACAGAGGAATGCACAGCATCCCCCAGCTGAGAAGAGCAAGGACTGTGAGATCTACCTCAGATACCGCAGATTGCATCTCGGGTGCCTCAGAGTCTCACACAGCAGAAGCAGCAGCTTGTCACTGTGGACGCCACCTTCCAGGACCAGGTGCGTCAGAGTCTTCTTACCAACAAGAGCTAGACACAAGTCCCGGTAAGCATCAGCAGGGGAAACATTTTTAATCCTAGGAAAAAATGAAAAGGGATTCCGTCTTGAGTGCTGTGAACACAGGGAGAGGAGTGGTCTCCAGACAAGGTGGACAATGGGAAGATGGTCAAGAAAACCACTGATGTGAAGGGCAAGTTAACAGAGGGACAGCTGGAACGAAGAGAAGCAGGGCCTGCAAAGAAGGTACTCTGTGGTGGTGGGAGAAAGACGGGTCGGATGCTGGAGGGCTTGGTCACCCTTGTGACCTGGCTCATGCTGTTCTTCAGAGGAGCCATCTAGCCTCTCCTTGAGTTTTGTGTCCTACCCTGTATCTCCTTCAGCATTCAGCTCCCAACCTCCTCCTCCTCAGTGCCTGACTTCTCCTAGCAAGAATAAGCTATTTCTTACTATCGCCCCACACAGCCATTTGCATTCCCACAGATCAGTTTCCACTTAGGTTACACTAGGTTATCGTTTATGAGTTAGCAAATAAATTAGACTCTTTGAAGGTGTGGACCATGAAGAGTTGGGGGTTTTGTTTGGTTGGTTTTTTTATTTCCCTCTCCGCTAGCATGAATGTGGAATTTCAAATAGGATTAAAATAAATCCTAGGTGGAAAAGAACATAGATTTTCTCTAATCCAACTGTGGGCTTCAAGAAATAATTCAGCATTAAAAAAAAAAGTAAGATTTTTTTCCGGCACCTGGACTGTGCCACCTTCTTTAGAGTAAGAGTCAATCAAGCTCGTGTTATACATAATGAATCTAGCTCCTAAGTGATCCTGTGTGCATAGTAGGAATAAGTGGGAAAGCACTTTTCTCAGGACCTCTTTTTGAAGCATGCTTAATGCATCCTAATTTGGGATAGACTCCGCACCCACCATTATTGCCCACTACCCTCCTATTTCAGATGTTCATTTTCACTTGAGTTCTAGAGGCTCTTCGCCTGTTTTTAAGTTGTACCTCCAAACCTGGCAATCCATCCCCCTGTTGGGGGGGGGCGGAATGGATACTCTCTTCTCCCTAAACCCACACTTCTTCCTAAACCCACAGTTGCTCTTATAACCCTTGACCCTTCATTGTCAGATAATGAATGTTCCCTGCAGCTTATCCAAAAGAGGCTTCAGAATGAAATTTTCAGCACAGAGAGAACCAGATTAAGGGGGATGCCAGCCTTTCAGAACCCCTGCCTACATTGTCCTAAACTCTTAGCAGAACAAATTACAGGTGCCTTCTAATTCTTGTTTCTCATGTAAGGCCTTGAGCATTACAGAGCAATGTAAACTTTCAAGGCCATACAGAAGAAATTGCTATCTTTGCTGACACCAACCCATGTCAGATTTCATTGCTTTGAGCACACAAGTCCATGGCATTGTGAGACAAGCAAGTCAACTGATGTTTGGCATAGGTATTTATCCCAAGTAAATAGCACATTTTCGGGGGCTTAATTAAACTTTCTAAGGCATGTTGTTCTAGGGAAGTGGGGGGAGTTTCAGTAATGTATCCATCTGTAATTCTGAACAGAACTTATGAAATTTATCACTTGGACATGTGTTGGTTGAACCTTTTAAACCCTAACAATCACCTGCCCAGGCGGCTCCATCATGATTTGCTTCTGCCCTAACCTACCTTACTCAGACTCCTCTCTCTCAATCCTGTTCCACACACTGGTTATAAATTCATCATTGCCTCGCCGACACGTTCTCATTCATGTATTTAAAACTGTGCTCTCTGGAATATTTCCCCAGTTCCCACCAGGTGTCCTTCTGATATGCATGTACCTATATTTCCCACAGGCTGAGTTTCAAATATGCCCATAGCAGATGTAGGGAAACATCCAAACGCTTGGCCAAATTTCATGACAATAACTCAATGAAACATACGATTCTCCCACTAGCTACCATTTCAATTCTTTGTATTCTGAGCACCTGGTTGGTCAGAGCCTGGTCAGGCATTCAAATACTGCTGCCACATTAAAAACGCCTGGGGATCATCGTTACAGGACTGGTGTCTACTTACACCACTTTCTGGAGATGACAGGTGACACGGGTGATTTGCTCACAAAGAATCCTCACAGAGGAGTGACTTAGGAAGCTTTGGCTCACATCCAAGAAGCACAGATTCTCATTTGAACTGAACACCGAGCAGAGATCGATCCAGAGATGGAGAAAGACATGGTCGTGCTGTGACCTAGAAGGAAGGCATGGACCAGAGCACCTACTGAAAAGCATGTATGGGAGAAGTAACAAGAATTGATAGACAGTCCCCCAAAGGGAACCACCAACAAAATGAAAAGGCAGCCTACAGAATGGGAGGAAATATTTGCAAATCATATATCTGACAAGGGGTTAATATCCAAAACATATAAAGAATTCATACAATTCATTTAAAAAAAACTGATTTAAAAATGGTACGGGGTGTTATACACAACTAATGAATCGTTGAACACTACATCAAAAACTAATGATGTATTAGAAGTTGACTAATTGAATGTAATAAAATTTTTTTAATTAAAAAAATGGACAGAGGAACTGAATAGATGGTTTTCCAAAGAAGGCATCCAGATGGCCAAGAAAAGATGCTCCACATCACTCGTCATCAGGGAAATACAAATCAAAACCACGATGAGCTATCATCTCACACCAGTCAGAATGGCTGTCATCAAAAAGACAGGGAGTAAGTGTTGGGGGGGATGTGGGGAAACGGGAATCCTCGTGCCCTGTTGGCAGGATTGTAAATTGGCACAGTTACTATGGAAAACAGTATGGAGTTTCCTCAAAAAATTAGAATTACAGTATGACCCAGCAATCCCATTTCTGGGTATTTGGAGAAAATGAAATCACACTTTTTTTTTTTTTTTTTGAAATCACACTCTTGGTAAAGTATCTGTACTCCCACATTCGCTGCACCATTATTTACAACACCCAAATGTGGAAGCAACCTAAGTGTCCACTGATAGATGAATGGATAAAGAAAATATGGTATGTGTATCTGACAGAATATTATTCAGCCACAAAAAAGGAAATTTTGCCATTTGTGACAACATGGATGGATCTGAGGAGCATTAGGCTATGTGAAATAAAGTCAGGCAGAAAGACAAATACTGTATGATCTTACTTCTATGTGGACTCTAAAAAAAAAAAAAGAAAAAAACCAAACAAGCAAAAAAAAACCATGAATTCCCAGAACAGATGGGTGGTTGCCAGAGGCAGGGTCAGAGTGGTCAGTAGGTACGAAGTTTCAGATCCAAGTCCTGGGGATGGTGGAATGGGTACAGTATGGTGGCTCTAGTTTAAGGAAAGGATAAAAAATTGTTAAGGAAAATATGTGAGGTGTCCAGAATGTCTAGGGATGCCCTGGACTTGTGCCCCACAGGTAAGCTATACCACTGAACAAAGTAAAGTTCCACCCCTAATCTGAGCATCGTGCTCCCCACCTTGAATGGCAAGCTGGCAGAAGAAATTCTGGCAAGAAAAAAATTCTGACCCTAAGCCACAGGGAGCAGGACACTCTGCCCTGTTCCTAATGCAGCAGGGGATGAGGCTGAAGAGGGCGACACTAACAGAGTGAACAGGGCAGGTCCTTACCGGTCAGCCTGAGCCTCTGATTCCCATGCAGCATCATTCTCCAGGAACGTCCCCTTTTCTACCCGCAGCCACATTTTCTGCAAGTTTTCACAATGCTTGAGGCAGAATGCTGCGTGCACCATGTCCGAGGTATCTTGCAAATGCAGGGACACTTCCGTGACCTGGGCCATGGCCTCCTTCACAAGCTGCTCCTCTTGGGATTCATAGAGACAGTACAAAATCTCCTTCGTGTCGGTCACCGAGGAGAAGGGTCTGTTCTCGGCGGACCTTATTCTGCATTCCAGTAGCTCCTGCTTGACCTCCGTGGACACCGGGCAGCCAAACGTGGTCCCCAACTCCCTGGCCCTCTTTTCATTGGCGAGGCCGAATAGGAAGCGCCCCACGGGGGCCAGGTGGGGGTTCTTGAGTCCTTCTTCCTTGGACAGCAGCCTCTGCACACCCCCAATGTTCCAGCCGGGGCTCCCCGCGTCTTGGTGGTCCTCGCTGCCCAGAACGTAGAGCGCAGCGGCCAGGAAGTGCTGGACGCTCAGGTGCACGAAGCAGTAGCAGCCCTCACAGTCTCTGCCCTTCTGGAGGATGCTTCTGTCCAGGAAAGGGCGCAGGTCAGACTCGTCCGTGCCCAGCCTGCGCAGGTCGTGTCCATCGAACACCGAGGTCTGCGCCCACGTGCCCTCGGCGGCCAGCAGGCACAGGGCGCGCAGCGCAGCCGCGAGGTGTGGACCCGGGCAGCTGCCCCGCACCGGCGCGAACCGACTGCAGAGAAAGCACAGCAGCAGCGACGTGGCGGTCTGGCAGGTGGGGCGGGGGTCCTCGGCCTCGTCCATCTGCAGCCTCAGGCAGGTGCACACCATCCAGCACACGGCGGGCGCCGCGCCCATGCGGAACAGCGCCGCATTGCTCTTCATCAGGTGGAAAGCGCGCAGCGCCCGAGCCTCCTCTCCAAAGTGTCGCAGGAAATACGCCCTCCTGTCGCGTTCTGAGAGCCCTTCCATCTCCACCAAGAGTGGCCGCTCCGCCAGGAACCGCAGCTCCCTCAGGGCCTCGGGCCGCGTGGTGACCAGTAGGGTGGCCGTGGGTAAGAGCTTTCTCTTCAGCAAGCTCCCCAGGAGGACAGGCGCAGGTCTCTGCGTCCTCCAGTCGCCACACAGGTCGTGCACCAGCGCCCCCACCCCCGAGGGCACGCGCAGCTCCTCAAAAGCATCAAGGACGAACAGGAGTTTCTGCGCCTGGGCGAGGAGCTGCGGAAGGGCATCCCGCAGGTCTGGGGCGCTCTCGGCCAGCACCTGTGCGAAGGAGCACGTCCCCTTGCGGCTGAGCACCTTGCAGCTGAGGTAGAAGGCGTGGGGGCAGGTCTGTGCGAGGTCGTCCTGCGTCCAGTCCAGCATGCACTTCTTGGCCAGAGTGGTCTTCCCGACGCCCGCGGGACCGTGCAGCACCACCGTGTGTGACTTTAGCTGTGTGGGTGTTTTGGGATTCAAGAAAGTTATGAACCTTTGGCTTCTCTGAGTGACGTTGTAGTGAAATTCATCACCATTTCCTGGCGAAAAGGTCTTCAGGATAGAAGATTCCTCCATTGCGTTTCTACCTCACTCCTCTTCACCTGTAGTGATATGGGTTGGGACAAAGCTGGCGTGTCAGTGATTATACTCACCTTGAAAATACACTTGTAAAGGACTGGAAACGAGGAATACCAAGAACAGGCAAGTTATCTTGCATGCTACCAAACAGCAAACTTCTAAGACAGTACTGAACCACCTGGCTTTTCTAACCAGCAAGTCCCCTTCTGCTTCCCCCAGCTTCCAGTTGTCCAGTCTTTTTTGCACTTTTGCACTTTGTAAAATACCCACGGGGGAGAGCTTGACCCATAGGGTTATTTGTACTTTGTAGATCATGTATTATTGTAGATTAAGAGAACTTTAAATATCTTCATTTTCAAAAAAAATATTTCATTTTTATTAC